ATGGGAGAACGACATTGAAAATGTTAATATGCCAACATGAATGTCAATTACGTAAATATGTTAATAAACTAATAGTTGCATATTAAATATAAATATTTATGACATAGGGAATAAAGATTGGAAAGTACAAATATGCCACAAATTACCTCAGAGTGAAAAAAATTGAAAGGTGATTGTTATTTTCTCTCAAGTTTCCTATGGTTTTAGATTCTATACAAAAACTTTGGACCACTGCACATATGCTGCCCAAGTCCATGAGCTGCTTGCGCCCATGCAGCCAAGCACATGTGGTGCCCGAGCACATGTGTGGCCCGCATCTCCCCTCTTGAGATGTGGATTTTCATGCTTTTGTATCTAATGCTGGGGTGTATAGAGGGGTTCTCTCCACCCTTGGACAAGCCTGCATTCTCCTTTAAGAGCATCTCTCTCTCTCTCTCTCTCTCTCTCTCTCTCTCTCTCTCTCTCTCTCTCTCTCTCTCTCTCCCCCTCCACACCTACAACAACCCTTCAGATAAAATCTGGTTCTTTGTACCACTATCTTTAAACCAAAATAAATCATAGACTTTTATTTGGAAATCTTTTTAGTTTTTTATTTTTTGGCTTTTGGGGTCACACCTGGTGATGCTCAGGGGTTAGTCCTGGCTCTGTACTCAGGAGTTCTGACAGTGCTTGGGGGACTGTATGGGATGCTGGGGATTGAAATCTTGTCAGCTGTGTGCAGGTAAATGCCCTACCTGCTGTTCTATCGCTCCAGCCCAAGAAACCTCAATTTTAAAGAGGAATGTGACACCATCATCATCATCATCATCATCATCATCATCATTATGGCTTTGGGACCACCCCCAGCAGTATTCAGGCATGACTCCTGGCTCTGCATTCAAGGATCACTCCTGGCAGGACCGTATGGAATGCTGGGAACTGAAGCCGGGTTGTCTTCTTGTAAGGCAAGTGCCAGGCCCTCTGTACTTTCCCTTCAGCCCAGAGGAAGGTGACTTTAACCACTTTCTCCTCTACTCCCCTTTGTTTGAAAATCAAAGGATGTTCCTCTTGTAATAATCCCTGCTGGGCCAGTGTTGGGAGTCTTCCTCTCTGTGGTGAAGACCGGGCTCCGCCTACCTGGCCCTTCTTCTCCCCAAGTGGTAGATTTTCTTCCTTCCCCGCCTTTTTTTCAGAGGCAAGTAAGGGCACTCCTGACGCTAAGGGTCCTTCCAGGCACCCGCGCAAGCCTCCTGGGGCCTTCCCTGGCAATCTCACCCACTGCTGAGTTTCAACTACCGTGGCTTAGCTGAGCCTCTCGAGATGGTCCTAGAAACAAAACTCTTCAGGCTGGACACATGGGACAGGAGGTGAAGACGATGTGCTCACTTAGACTGACCCTTGACACTGCAGAGCATGGGGACTGGGGGGGAGGGTTGTTACTCTTGAGCACTTTGAGCATTGCCAAGCAGAGTCCAATCCCTACCCCGCATGCATCTATTCTAGATCTATTTATATATAACTAAATGCATTTATTTATATATATAAAAGCTTTATTACATAATATATAGGAGTATATATAGGAGTGATATGGAATATATCTATAATATATATACTATTTATATATCACTGTCACTGTCACTGTCCTCCCGTTGTTCATCGATTTGCTCAAGCGGGCCCAGTAACGTCTCCATTGGAGACTTTGTTGTTACTGTGTTTGGCATATCGAATACGTCATGGGGGGCTTGCCAGGCTCTGCCATGCGGGCGAGATACTCTCGGTAGCTTGCCGGGCTCTCCGAGAGGGGCGGAGGAATCGAACTCGGGTCGGCCATGTTGGCTGTGTGCAAGGCAAATGCCCTACCGCTGTGCTATCGCTCCAGCCCATTATATATATATATATATATATATATATATATATATATATATATATATAAATGCATTTATTTCCAGTTGTGTCTGCCTTTTCTGGCCCCCTCCCATTGAATCAGCATAAAAAATATTTTGAGTCCGGCTCTGCTATGGTGTGTCCCGTAACTCCTACCACTTAGGAGACTGCAAATAAATTCCTTCCTTACTCTGGTCTTTGGGTTGGAGCCACAGCACAACGGGTAGGGTTTGCCTTGATGAGGCCGACCCGGGTTCAATTCCTCCACCCCTCTTGAAGAGCCTGGCAAGCTACCGAGAGTTTCTCGCCCGCACGACGGAGCCCGGCAAGCTACCCATGACATATCCGATATGCCAAAAACAGTAACAAGTCTCACAATGGAGATGTTACTGGTGCCCGCTCGAGTAAATAGATGAACAACAGGATGACAGTGCTACATTCAGTGCTAGTCTGGTCTTAGCTGGAGGACAGCTGGGCTGCTTCCAGTGGCATCTTCAGCTATGTTCCCACCTAGCATCTACAAGGTATCCGGAGCTAGGTTTTGCTGGGTTTTTCTGTGATTCTGCCCTCCACCATACTCTGATCTTCCCGGGCCTACCCCCCACCACCTTTTCCCTCCTCTCGCAGGAAAATGGAGCAGATATTTTCAGAGTGGAGCAACGGGCCTGGGTAACACTGTGGCTAGCTTGGTGCAGGGCCATCCTGACCTGTTCCATGTCTAATTTTGGAAAGCGCAGGCCTTGCGCCAGGGCCAAGAAAGGGCAGTACTGTTGGAGGTCATCAAGGGAAGCAGCTGAAAGTCCATGGGGAGGGACTGGGCCAGTTGGGGAAACGGAGGGTCAGTCTGGGACTGGCCAGCCGAGCAGAGAAGCTAAACAGTAATTGGCCTGTCTCCCTCCTCCTTAGCGGTTTTCAAACTCCTCCTACGCCTAAAGGCTCTGTGTTAGCTCATTGACTCCTGGCTGCTGTGGGAGGCATTTACCTCCCAGGGAATTATAAACCAGGTGGACCATTGTAGCTAGACAAAGAGAGTAATTGAACGCCACTCTTGATAACAAAGTAATAAGTGCTGGGCTATTTCCCAGGTACAGTTACCAACCGTCTTGGCCCAGAGCCATCAACAGCAGGAAGGGTGTCCCTGGGGAGGTACAGAGCTCAGAATTATCTGTGGGATTCAATTGAAAGAAAAAATACTTTGCCCTTAACACTCTCTACCCAAGACCTTTCAGTTTTGTCTTCCTTTACTGGGACTGATAATGTTTTATTTACTTATTCAAGACAGTCAAGATGGGGCAGACCCTGGAGTCATTGTTCTTTCTTTTTTTATGGGGGGGGGGCAAAAATCTGACAATGTTCATGGCTTACTCCTGGCTCTGCACTCAGGGGTCACTCTGCCTGCAGGCTCAGGGGACCATCTGGGGTGCCCCATAGTCAGGCTGGCATTGTGCAAGGTAAATGCCCTTCCTGTTGTGCTATTGGCCCCAGAATATAGGCTGGGATTCAGAAATCCCCTCCTTAGCCTCTCTGGCTTCCGGTGCCCCCTCCAAGAGAGGCCCGTGTTAGTTCCCCAGCGTTGCCCTAACAAGGTGAGTGGGGGATGAAAGTAAAAATACTTTAGGGGGATGAAGCCTAAAGGCCAACCGAAACACATTTCCTTCCTCAGCTCTGGCTGCTGCACGTGGCGCTGGGGGCGCTGGGCTGGGCATGAGACCCCAGTGTTATCCTCGGCAGCACCTACAAAACGGATTTGCCCTTTCAAACGACATCCTGGCTGGGAGTGAGCTCAAAGGGCTGGAGCGCACACACGTGGGCGGTTCAGTTCCAGCCTCCCTATCCCGTGTCCTCCAGGCTGGCGGGGAGCACCCCAGTGTGTACCCTTGTCCCCGCAAGGCATATTGTTAGTTTGATGCCTATAAAATCGATCTTTTGGATTTTTAAAAAATATAGTCTAGGGGCTGGAGCAATAGCCAGCGGGAGGGCATTTGTCTTGCACGCGGCCAACCTCGATTCCAAGCATCCCATATGGTTCCCTGAGCACCGTTAGGAGTAAATCCTGAGTGCAGAGCCAGGAGTAACCCCTGTGCATCGCCGGGTGTGACTATATTATATATATTAGGTTCCACAATTTTATGAATCCGTTTAACCTAAAAGAGAGATCAGGATCCAAGAGATAGAACAGATGGAAGGGCGCTTCTCTTGCACGCAGCTGACCCGTACCTTAGCGGGTCCTCTGAGCACAGAATCAGGAGTCAGCCCTGAGCACCAAGGGGTGTGGCTCCAAAACCCAAATGAGAGAGACTGATAGCAGAGAAAAGGGAAGCGCCGCAGGAGCCCGAGGGAGGGATGAAAGGACGTTGGGTTGGTTCCAAGTCTGACACTCGCTCCCGTCAGCATCCCACGCTTGGTCTCCTACCAACAATACCATCACCTCTCGCTCTACATTTGCTTTGCTCCATTTCTTAGCGACTTAGACCCCCCAGCCAGCCTGGATCTGGTGTCCGACCCTCCCCGCTGGCCGGTGGGATGCCGGGGCGGGGTCGCGCGCGCAAGTGTGCCAGGAACCGCAGGGGTCGACGCGTCCCGCCCCCGCCCGCCGCGAGCACGGCTCTGGGCTCGCCCACGCTACAGGTGGAGAGAGCCGCGTTCTATGGACCCGCGGCCCAGGACGCGGCCCCCAGGGCCCAGCTCCGGATAACGGGGCCAGAAGCGGGCCCGCGTCACGTGGGTGCACTGTTGCCCCAGCTGACGCTGCATCCAGGGCACCGAGAGCCAATCGGAGCGCGAGGCTGGGTCGCCGGCATCTCCGCGTCGCGGCGGCCACGGCCACACGCCCGACCCCGCGGTGGCGGGGGCGGGAGCGACGTGGGAGTTTAGGGACCGAGCTCCGAACGCGCCCCCCGCGCGCACACGAGCCCCGCCGCCGCCGCAGCCGCCGCTCGGCGGAGCGAGCGCGTCCGGGTCCGGCCCGGGGGCGGCGCTGATTGGAGGGGCCGCGGCCGCCGTAGCCAATCGCCGCGCCCGGCCGCGCTGTCCCCGCCCCCGGCCCCGCGCGCCCCGCCCCCGCTCCGCGCGCCCCGCCCCCGCCCCGAGCGCCCCGCGCGGCCTCCCCGGCGCCCGCTGCTCCCTGCGCGCCTGGGCCCGGGCGCCGCGGCCCCGCCATGGGCTCCGGCGGGTGGTCGCCGCCGCCGCTGCCGCTGCCGCCCCTGCCGCCGCTGCCGCTGCTGCTGCTGCTCGGGCTGGCGGCGCTGCTGGGCTGGGGCTGGCGCTGGCGGCGGCGCGCTCGGGGCATCCCGCCGGGCCCCGCGCCCTGGCCCGTCGTGGGCAACTTCGGCTTCGTGCTGCTGCCGCCCTTCCTGCGCCGCCGCGACGCCCTGACCCGGCCCGCACCCACGCCCCGCGCCCCGCAGCTCGTCCTGGCCGACCTGGCGCGCGCCTACGGCAACGTGTGCAGCTTCTTCATCGGCCACTACCTGGTGGTGGTGCTCAGCGACTTCAGGAGCGTGCGCCAGGCGCTCGTGCAGCAGGCGCGCGTCTTCAGCGACCGCCCGCGCGTGCCGCTCGTCTCGCTGCTCACCAAGGAGAAGGGTGAGCGCGGGGCGGCGGGGGTGCGGCTGCGGGGTCTGCAGGGGAGCACAGCTGCCGGGGCTGCTACGGGTCGCAAATGCGGGGACTGTGGGGACTGCCGGGAGCGCAGCTGCGGGTCCGTATACCGGTGCTGCGTGGAACGCGACTGCGAGGACTGCGGGGGATCCCGGCTGTTCGCGGGGGAGCCCAGGCCCGACGGTCCGTCCCGACCCCTGCTAGTGCTGCAGAGAACCAAGCTGGAAGCCCTGGCCGGCGCCCGGGACGGGGTGCGGGTGTGGGTGCGGGAGGCGGCTGGCATTGTCTCCCGGCGCGTGGCTCCTTCCCGGAACCCGCCTCCTGCCCTGGCCGCGAACCCGGGAGAAGCGGGGCGGCGCCAGGAGGGGTGCGGGGCGGCGCGTCCGCGGGCCTTCTGCGGGACGGGACGGAACTGGAGGGAGGGGAGAAGATCTTTGCCCCCGCAGGTTGCAAGAGGTGGGCCCGGCAGCCCTAGACCCCTGGCTGGGAGCTGCTTGAGGAGGAGCCTGGTTCAGGCAGTTTGGCTCGACTCCAAGTTAGCCAAGTTAGAGGCTGCTGGACAGTGACGCCTTCCCCCCGCCTCCACCACCTCCCCACCCCCGCGCAAGTGTTTTTCCTTCTCTGTCTCCAGCACCAAGGGGCGGCAGGATGTGTGACCTGGAGTTTCCCCCCCCCCCATGCGTCCTAGGGGGTCGACGGTCCCCGATCTGCCCCCAGGATCTACGTTATTGAAGTGCCGTTTTCCAATAAAGAGATGCGGGGATTTTAGAATCAAAGCCAAAGGGGGAGAGGGGTATCCTGTGCCCAGGGTTTACTCCCACTCTGCGCCCAGGGATCACTCCTGGGGGTCTTTAGGGAGCCTTACGGGGTGCTGGGACCAATGTAGGCGAGTGGACAGCGTGCAAGACAAGCGTCTTAGCCCCTGTTCTGCCGCTGCTGCCATCTCAACCACTTTTAAATGGAGACTAGAAAAAGAAGGCGCACACTCAGTGCCCTTGGTTCACTCACACGGTTGTGAAAGGACCGTGGATATTTCCAGGAAACCCCCCTTTTTTTCCGTTTTGGAAAAACAGACTTTGTACCCTTTGTACCACTTCCTCCCATTTTAACTTCCCCACTCACCAGGGCAAACACTTTTTCTTTCTGTCTAGGGGAATTTGCCCTGTTCGGGGTGTCCTATAAGTAGAATCCCACAGTGTCAGTGACCCACACACCTGGGTTAATTCAGGGCTCCAGTCAGCCACGCCCAGTGGGAATATTCCACCGCACATCTGTCCTCCCCTCGCCCACCGTCTGCTACTGTACTCAGTACAGACAGCCCCCAGCTCACCCTCGAGGCTGTCACTGGATTGTTCGGTGGTGCCTTCCAGCCCTCCACCACCACTGCACCATGGCAAGTCCCCTCCCCTGGTGGCCCCCGTGTTTCCGTGTCTCTCCCTCCTCACGAACGCTTGTTACTCTGTGTTTCCGCATCTAGTTAGAGCGGCCTTTCTGAGGACACCTGCCCGCCCCAGGCAGAGCTGGCTCCTGACCGTGTCAGGGTCCCGCGTCCGTCCTCATTTCCCTCAATGTATGCTGATGCCCGGCCCTCCCCAGGTGCTGTCAGGCAGCCCAGGCCCGCATCTGGCTGGCGTACTCCGAGCTGTACCACACAGAGCAACCAGGGGCACTAGTTTACGGGAATCAAACCCACTGCTGGACTTCGCTACCTACTGAGTCCTTGAGGCTCCCTCAGACCCCAGCCCGCCCATCTCTCACCTCTCGTCCCTGTCTCCGTTAACTTTACCTTTGAACCTGCTTTAGGCATCTTGTGCCAAATCTTGCCATGCTTGTGGCGGTGCCCGGCTTCTGGGATCATCTTCTTGGGTCTGGGATAACCTTTCACCTCACTCTCTCCTTGTCATGCTGGCCAAGCCTCGCCTTTCCTTTCTGACTGGGGCAGTGCCCAGCCTCACGGCTGATGATATGCCAATCATTATGTTTCACTCACGTGAGCCATGGGGTAGCCCTGGTAGCCCTGGGTGGCCTGCGGGGTGCCAACCACTCCACTGAGAGCCCGCTGCGGGCAGAGAGCCCGCTCTGAATGAGCGTCCGCAGAAGGCATCTACCCAGGCGCTCACCATATCGTGTCAGAGTTCACGTTGTACGTTTGACCTGTAGACTGTGTGAAGCAGGAACTGGGTTTCCTTCTCTGGCATCCTTCATGGTGGGCCTACACTTTGGTAAAGAGTCTGTCGGGAGGCCGTCTCCCATTCTTTCTTGGATCCCAGGGGGTTTGACTTGGTTTGAGTTTGGGGGCCACACCCAGTGATGCTCAGAGGCTTCTTACTCAGGGAGGACAAGGTCTCCTCAGACCAAGAGCTGCTGGGACTCACGAGGGTCAGCGTGTTCAGGGTGAGCGCCCTAACTCCTGTGCCACGGGTCGCTCTGGTCTGGGTCGCTCACGTTGTTAGATGTGTCTTGATTTGGGGAAGCCTGGGGTCATGGGTGCTTCAGCGACAGCGTCTGCTCTCCTGAGACCCCACAGGCATTCTTTTTAGGCATGGGAGCTAGATGATGTGACTGAGCTGTGCAAGATTGGACAGCAACTTCTCTGCCTGGCGAAGGAGAGTCCCGAGAGAAGGCAGAGTAAGAACCAGAGGTCTTGAAGGAAATGCATCGAACCGAAGGTGGGAGAGAAAGAGGACAGTGGGAAGGACAAGCCTGTGTTCTCACACCACGACCCACTGTTACTGGGGGGTTTATTTTGAGCTTGTTCCAGAAGTAGATCTGGCCAGAGGGGCCACGGACCCTTTGCTGACAAACACGTGAGCATTCCCCCGGCTTCCCTTCGACACCGTTTTACAATGAGCAGCGTCCCAAGAACTCAGGCTCACAGGGTCACCAGTCTAGAGGTTTTGAGAGGTTCTTCCACATCCCGTTTCCTTCCTTCCCTTTCACAGCTGCTTCGCCACAGTCATCTTAGATGCACTGATAGACCGTTCATGTTCATGCTGAAGGTTGTGTTCTTCATTTCCTCTTGTGACGTTGGAATTCATTTTTGCATTTTCATTTTTGACTGAGTCTCTCTCTCTCTTGGGCAGTGACTCCATTTTTGTGATTGATTATGAAAGGAAATAGCATCACCAGGGAAGAGATGTCCCTGTAGACATTTCTCTGTGCTCCATCTTCATCCACTGGACTCCACAGGTGATTAAGTAAATGAATTAGCATTCTCAGCAGACAGATCTGCACCTGCGTGGGACCAGAGAGCTAGTACAGTGAATGAGTGTTTGCCTGTATGTGACCAAACCAGGTTCAGTCTCTACTATTCCACATGGTCCCTTGAGCCTCACCAGGAGCGACCCCTGAGTGCAGAGTAACCCTGAGTACCACCGGGCATGACAAAAAACAAATTGAAAATATGAATAAGTAAAACCAGATCTGCATCTATATGAGCAGGGAAGGGCTCTGAGATCAGAAAACTCCAGATTATTTTACGCGATGGATCTTTTATTACCTCCCCAAAATTCAGGCACCTGTCCAGCCCAAAGTGTCACAGAACAGTGGGAGAGCCAGGCCTGTGTTCCCTCTGCTGCGTGTTCGTCCTGTCTTTGGAACCAGGAGGAGACAGAGCTGGTCCCAGGCAGGACCCAGTGCAACTGGGACTGTACACAACAGGAAGTAGAGCAAGTTCCTCAAGGTCAGCTCCCTGGGGAGCGGCAGAGCTATTTCCTAGGCCTCTGGGCGTGAGCCTCTGGGGAAGTGTGACAGTCAGGAGACGCCCACCCCAAGGGCACCAGTGGTCCCCCATAACAGGGACAGATGTCCCACAGGTCCCAGAGGGACCTCAGTCCTGCCACAGTCCTGTTCCACCCCTCAACAAACACCGGGCTTCCAGCCTTCGGGCACTGGACCCTTCCGCCTCTGGCTTCCAGCAGACATGAGCAGCAAGGTAGGCAGAGACATGGTGGGATGGTGATGAGGTTCTCACTAAAGCCACTGTCGCCAGCCTGCAGACACAAGACAGAGCGTGTGGGCTTGGGACTAGACGTTCTCCGACACAGCTTTCCCCAGCTGTGGTCTACCACTCTGGGCCCAGCATGGTGGCCAGGAGAGGCCAGTTAGTCCCTGTGTGATTAGGTGAGGGCAAAGCAGGGCGTCCAGCCAAGGGCAGTGCTCCAAATAAAGCAGTGGGAGATGTGGTCAGGCTGTTCCTTGAATGTCCTGCGGCCCCCTCTGACTGGGGGTACCCTGGGGCATGGAGGGGTGTCATAGAGAGTTGCGGACATGCTTTCTTTCCAGCATGTTGGGCAGTCCCTGCCCTAATGTAGTCAAGCTTCTACTCTTCAGGCGTGGAGGTAGAAATGCCCATTTGTGCCTGAGTCAGTGTCCAGTAGCTGGTGCCTAGAACCTAGCCAGGCATGGCTCCTCCTCCTGTGTCATCCTCCTGGCAGGCAGTGCAGATGCTGAGCAAGATGGTTTCTGCTTTCCTTCTCTGTTCATTTGTACCACAGCCAGCAGTGCTCAGGGATTACCTCTGGCTCTGCACTCAGAGATCTCTCCTGGGGCCCTGGCGAGGCTGGGGGGACCCTCTGGGGTGCTGGGGAGCGGACCCTGGTCAACCACATATAAGATAAGCACCATGCAGAGATCTGCTAATGACATGTTCTTTGCCATATACCATTAATGGTTGCTTGACCCTGAAAAACCAAATCTTCTGCTTAATTCTAAGTGATGTTTAGGAAACCTACACTACAATAACAAAATTAAATATTTACTGCAATGTTTAAGTAGGATTGGTACCGAACATTATGAAAGTTTGAGATGCACCATCTTAAAACCAACATAAGGATTCCCCACCTGATGTGTGCCACCAGACACCCAAGTTTCATCTATCACCAAGTAGTTGATTCCTTAAAACAAGGTATTTTTAACAAATTTTGCTCCTAAACACCAGGAGAAGGGAACATTTCACAAACAGTGATGAGCACGAAGAGATGGGGAATACTGATCTAGAATGTTGCCCTTAAGTCCTGGGGTGTGTGGTGGGGAGGGGGTGTTGCTTATATCCGAGATGGTCCAGCCTTAGTGCTCAGATGAGTAGATGCTCGTCCATGACACAGTTAACTAGACAGGCCGCCAGGCTCTCTGCATCAGTTGTGACCAGTCCACAATTTTCTTCCTGAGCACTGTAGCACTGTAGCACTCTCCTCCCGTTGTTCATCAATTTGCTCGAGTGGGCACCAATAATGTCTCCATTGTGAGACTTATTGTTACTGTTTTTGGCATATTGAATACGCCATGGGGAGCTTGCCAGGCTCTGCTGTGCGGGCGGGATACTCTCGGTAGCTTGCGAAGCTCTCCAAGAGGGATGGAGGAATCGAACCCTACCCGCTGAACTATAAAGTCACAAAATCAGCTCTATGGCTGCCAAGGAGTGCTGCACGCAGACTGTTTCTCGAAGGTTTGTGTGCATCAAATTTTAGTCACACGTTATTCCAAACATAAAATTTAGAGAGCAGTATAAATTCATTTATCCACCTCTCAGATTCAGTCTTCAGTCTTCAGACTCATAAATAGGCAAGGCTTTAAAAAATCTTTCTAAACACCCCCCTATTGGTAGAAATAAAATAACATCTAACACTTACCATAACAGTACTGAGTGGTTGTTAGAGATTTGGAACAAGAGTGAAAACAAATGCAAAGTCTTCAAGATCGAAGGCGGTGGGAGACTTCTGAGAGGTTTAAAAGTGCAGAATAGATCACTAAGGATGTTTGGGGCAACAGGATACAAAATGAATTGGGGAAATGAAGGTGGTGAAAGAGAAGTGTAAGCTCATCTGTCAGCTTGAAAACAAACAAAAAAATGGTCACTGAGTTTTGTGTGGATGCAGCCTGAGAGGCAGGGGAAGCGCTGATGTACTGGTGGGTCTGAATCCTGCCAAGGGGAGTTTCCACAGCCCTGCAGGAAGGAGCCATCAGACCAGGCCTCACACAGTCCCTGTTCCGGGAGTCCAGAGCCAGCGGGAGCTCGACACGGGATTACATCAGATGTGATGCATTTTGCTATAGTGATATTTTTTTATTTTTTGTGCAACAAAACATAAGGAAAAACAATTCCTTTGCATTCTTCTCAAAAAGAGAGAGTCCAGGGAGATAGTCACTGCCAGCACTCCTGGGCATGACCCTCCTGCTCTGAGCACCGCTGAGAAGAGCCCCCACAAAAAATAGATTATAATTGTTGCTACAGAGCCATTCTCATGTGGCTGGGCGCATGAGTTATAGGCTCCTGGTTTGGAAACCTCAAGTCATGAAATGACCTAAAAGTGTCCCCACCAGTACTACCAGGGAACTCCTGACGAGAGCGTTTGAGTCCCAGCATTGTCCAGGTTGTACCTGAAGATCTGAGAGTTCTCCTGAGGAAGGGCACCTCTCAGGAAGGACCAGCCTCTGAGGAAGGGCAGATCTCTGAGGAAGGGCACTCCCTGAGGAACAGCAGACCTCTGAGGAAGGGCACTCCCTGAGGAACGGCACCCACCTGAGGAAGAGCAGACCTCTGAGGAAGGGTACTCCCCGAAGAAGGGCAGACCTCTGAGGAAGAGCACCCCCGAAGAAGGGCAGACCTCTGAGGAAGAGCACCCCCTTGAGGAAAGGCACCCTCAGAGGAAGTGCAACCCCCTGAGAAAGGCACCCTCTGAGGAAGGGCAACCCTAAGGGAGGGTAGACCTCTTGAGGCAGCTGCGAATTCTGGGTGCTGCTGCCCCGTGTGTGCAAGAACAAGCTGGGCAGCTGTGGGGGACTTGTTCTTTCCTGAGGTGGTGACCCCTGGCATCCCCAGCTGTGGGTCCCACAGGCTTTACCATTTCACCATATAATCGTTACAGATTTCATGACAATTAATTTTTGCCAAAACGTGGACTACAGCCATCATGTGAAACTTTAAAATATGGTGCCCTGGTATTACTGAGGTGGAAAGAAACAGTGGTACTCTGTGGTAAGGTGCAGTATTGACCATGACCCAAGTGGGTGATATGGTAAGCTATGGCAGTTAACGTTTTGCTTAGCCTGAGGGACTGTCCTTTGCAACCGAAAGAGCTGTGGGTTTTGTCATTTTTAATTATTTCCTTTTTGTAGCGGTCACTCCTGGCAGACCGGGGATGGGGCGTGCAGCGCCAAGACCCCCCTCTGCACCTGGCACATGCTGGCACGTGCTCTGCCACCCACGGTCCTGCATCCGTTTGTTGTTTGTTCATCCTGAAGATGGACAGACCTCTGTCTGCCTCACAGAGTCTCTGTTCCTGGACCCGAAGCAGGAAGCGTCAGCAGCTGCAGACGGGGTAGCCCCCCAGCTGGTTGTTGGTGGATTCTAGGCTCTGAGTTTCCAGTCAGCCCTTGGCTCTCGCTCTGACCCTCTCGGTGTGCTCCTCCTCCCTCTGACGTCCTGCGCTCGCTCTCCTACACACGTGGACTCAGTTCCCAGTGCTCAGAGTCGGCCTCCCCTGAGGTGGTCTTCCACTTCCACTTCTGGCTCCCTCTAAACAGGGACTCTTCCCCTCCCCCCCCCCCCCCACTCCACTGAGGAGAACTCAGCCCTCTGCTCTTTCGGAAACACCCTCACTGACTTGAACAGGCTCCTCACTCTCCTCAGAGGAGCCTTCAGGCACATTCTGGGTGAGTTGCTGCACAGACATCTTCTCTCCTGGAAGGTGCCTCATGCCCTCGGCTGACCATGGTGCCTGTTGCCGTTCTGACTTCATCCCCGGTGCAGGCCATTTCATACCGAGCACCCCAGCACCACGACTGCAGACCCCGTCTCCTGCAGCCCAACCCTGCCGTCAACCTGGGTCCTTGCCAGCCTCCCACAGATCCCCGACGGCTCCCCCAGGGCCGGACCCCAGTCCGTTGGCTCGCCAGCATGGGATCTGAGCACGTGGGGGCCCAGGATGGTCCCGACCCAGAGGACCACAATTTCTGTTCTGAGAAGCTAACAACGTTAGCTAACAACGTTTTCTTCCCCATCATTCTCTGTGGTGGTGGGAGCGGGGGGCGGTGAAGGTCCTGGGGGGCTGTGTCACGCGTGTCCCCCGTGGGTGGCGCGTTCCTGCCCATTCTCACCCCATCCCTCCTCTCCCCTGCAGGGATCGTCTTCGCCCGCTACGGACCCGTGTGGCGGCAGCAGCGGAAGTTCTCGCACGCCACCCTGCGCCACTTCGGCCTGGGCAAGCTGAGCCTGGAGCCCCGCATCCTGGCCGAGTCGCAGTGCGTGCGGGAGGAGATGCGCCGGCACGGGGGCGCCGCCTTCAGCCCCTTCCCCGCCGTGCACCGCGCCGTGTCCAACGTCATCTGCTCGCTGTGCTTCGGCCAGCGCTTCGACCCCTCGGACGGCGAGTTCCAGAAGATGCTGGAGCTGATGTCGCGCTCGCTGGAGATCTGCCTCAACTCGCAGGTGCTGCTGGTCAACGTCTGCCCCTGGCTCTACTACCTGCCCTTCGGCCCCTTCCGCGAGCTGCGGCAGATCGAGCGGGACATCACCGCCTTCCTGAAGCGGATCATCCGGGAGCACCGCGCGTCCCTGGACGCCGAGCGGCCCCGCGACTTCATCGACATGTACCTGCTGCAGGTGGAGGCGGCGCGCAGGCAGGGCGACCCCAGCAGCTTCGACGAGGACTACCTCTTCTACATCATCGGCGACCTCTTCTTCGCGGGCACCGACACCACCGCCAACTCCCTGCTCTGGTGCCTGCTCTACGTGGCGCTCCACCCCGACGTCCAGGGTGAGCCTCGGGGTCCGTCTGTGAGCGAGCGGGCTCAGAGGTGTGGCCGCACCCCAGCGGCGAGAGCGGGTCAGGGTCGCAGCGACCACTGTGCCCGGCGCCACCTCAGCTTGTTTGGGGGCATCGGTCCGGGCTGAACTCCCAGCTCTGTGCCCAGGGGTCACTCCCGGCCAGCCTCAGGGCAGCCTGGGTGGTGCCAGCATCTCCTGGTTCTGAGGCCGCAGACGCCACTTCTGTGTGGAACCTGAGCTGAGGAAGAACCTCAGGGAAGAGCAAGCATGCAGAGCCAAGGGCGTCCAAGGGCCACAGCTGAGGGGCTTGTGTGCCACCCCCCCCACCCCCGCGGCCAAGGCACAAAGGACTGTGACCACACGCCCAGTGGCCACAGAGAACATGGCCGCCCTCTTCCATTCTAGACACTGGGGGAACTGAGCATCCCCCCGGGGCTGGAGGCAAGATGCGGTCAGAGCTGAACCCTGTCTTCGCTGCCTCCCGCTGTGTCCCCCAGCCCCAGCCGGCATCCCCCATGGCCCCATTTCAGGGCTGGCCACGCTGCCTCTCTCCCACACGACCTCCCACTCTGATCCCAGCATGTCAACCTGTGTCGCTGGAGTGGAACGGCCAGGGTAAACCCCCGGCCCCCGGTTCAGCACCTGCAAGGCAGTCTCCATACGTGCCCCCCTCCCCAGGCCAGGCTGATGCCCTCCAGGTTCCTGCGCTGACCACAGGGGAACCCTGGCCGGGTCCCAGTCGGGCAGCTCATTCTCGGGTCACCTAGTTTGGGGCTTTCTCCCGCTCGGCTGGTGTGACCCGGGTTCACTCTGGGGTAGCAGTCAAGGTGTCACGCAGGTGAGCTGTCACCTCCAGGTCCCAAAGTGAAGGATCTGAGAGAGGGGGCGGAGCCGGCTCAGGACACCGGGTGCCGGGCCTCTCCCTGGCTCTCTCGGAGCCCGAGGCCCACTCAAGCCCCACTCGGTGCCAGGCAGGAGGGGAGGGAGCAGGTCTGTGAACCCTGAGGCAGGGGCCCTGTCGGGCTGCACGTGTCGGGCTGCGGAGAGCACCCAGTGCAGTTGGCTCTGGCCCTGGCTTGGTCTGTTTCCCTTCCGAGGGAACAGGGGGTCGGGGGGCTCTTCGAGGCTGCCCGGGTCACCACGGGAGGGCAGCCTCTGTCTCTCTGGCTCACCGTGCGCTTTGTTCTTTGCCCTCCTGTGTGTGTGCATGTGTGTGTATTTGTGTGTTGCTTTTGCGTGTGTGCGGTTGTATGTGCATATGCCTGTGTGCATGTGTGTGTTGCGTGTGCACGTATGCATGTATGTATGCTTGGTGTGTGTGTGTGTGTGTGTGTGTGTATGTGCAGAGAAGGTTCACGAGGAGATCGAGAGGGTCATCGGCCGTGCCCGAGCCCCTTCGCTCACGGACAAGGCGCAGATGCCGTACACGGAGGCCACCATCATGGAGGTGCAGCGGCTGACGGTGGTGGTGCCCCTCGCCATCCCCCACATGACCTCGGAGGACACAGGCGAGTCCCGCCCCTGCCCTTCCCCGTGCTGTGCCAGGGGTGCCCGAGTCAGGGCAGTGCGTCTCCTCCTTGGCACTGAGGGGCAGTGCCGTGGCAGAGACGCCCCGGGGAACCTGCTGACTATGGAGTCCGGGAGTCCCACCGGGCCACCCTGCCCATTGTACAGTCCTGGACCACAGTGCAGCAAGTTGGGGGCTTTGGGTGGGCCCCACCCATGAGAAGCTGGCCTGCGGCGCCTGCCTGACAGGTGTGGGGGCTGGGGTAGTGTCCCTCAAAGCCTCGCCACAGATGCTGCACCTCCCTGGCGCTGGGTGCTGGGAGCCTCTGGGGCCTGGTGTCAGCCAGGCATGGCCAGGCCCCTTCTCAGCCACTGCCACCTCGTGGAAGTGGCACAAGTCTGGCTTCAGTCCTGTGTGGAGCCTGTGGGACTCTGGAAACACGTTTGCCCAGCACTCTCTGTGCTCTTCTGACTCTGAGGGCCACAGGGCCCCTGACAGCCTCACGGGGTGCCTTCTTGTGACATCCTCCCGTGACACTACCCCACGGAGCCTCCGGTGGCACCCTTCTGTGGTGCGCTCCTGTGGTGCCTTTTCATGGCACTTTCCTGTGACACCCTCCCATGGCACCTTCCCCTGGCACCCTCCCGTGGTGTCCTCCCACGGAGCCCTCCTGTGGCACCCTCCCATGTCCTCACCCAGCCTCCTGGGGTGGTGCTCCATTACAGGAGTTAGGGTGCTCGTATGCGACTGCCCTCCCCTCCCTGCCCCCGGCCCCCGGCCCAGGTTGGGATGTGGGAGAAGCTCGGGAAGCCTGTGAGGTCACGCCGCCCTCTTGCTCCTCAGTGTTCCAGGGCTACGCCATCCCTAGAGGCACACTGGTGCTCCCCAACCTGTGGTCCATCCACAGAGACCCGGCCGTGTGGGAGAGGCCCAATGACTTCTACCCGGCTCGGTTTCTGGATGAGCACGGACAGCTTGTGAAGAAGGAAACCTTTATTCCTTTCGGGATAGGTCAGTTCAGTCTTCATATATACTAAATGGCGTAAGTTTGAAAAGAAACAGAACGAGGCATACCTTTTGCTGTAGCTTACGAGTAGATGATATCTTTGTGATCTTATTTCAGTGCCATTCTTGTTTGTTTTTTCTCTTGGTGAGCTGCTACACAGGGTAGGTCACTAGGTAACGCCCCGCCACGCTCCTCATTCCAGCTCTCAGAGACGAAGTGAGGCCCGGGGCAGAGCAGAGGGCAGGCGCGCTTGCTCACACGCGGGAGGCCGCAGTTTGAAGTTCAGCACTGTGTGGCTCGCTGAGCACTAAGTCAGGAGCAGCCCCTGAGCACCAAGCCAGGAGTAGCTACAGACTCTGCCCATTGTGGCCCCAAGGCCAAAAGAAAGTGAAAGCGGATCGCAAACAGCTGGCACTGGTCTCTAATCAGAAACAGATGCCTTTCTTGCTGAGGGCCGACCAGCTCCCGGGCCCAGTGGCCGACCCCGTGCTGGGCAGGAGTGGGAGACTGTGGCCCCTGAGGGTTCCGGGTCAGGCCCAGTGGGTCCCTCCCACAGACGCGTTGCTCAGAGACCCCTAACTGACGCCCTTTCTCCACGACCTCCCATGTAAGAGCAGCAAGTGGGAAGGGGCCCGGCTCCTGCCTAGGGTGAAGGCAGGGGTTAGTGTCCTGCACGTGGCTGAGTCCAGTCTGATCCCTGGCATTGCATGGCCCCCGAGCACGAGTAGAGTGCCCCCAGGCCCAGAGCTGGAAGTGGCCCCAAGGGCTGCTGGGTGGGCCCCTGAACCCAAAACAGAGAAGCGTGCTCTTAGCGTGGAGAGATTTTAACAGCAGACACTGTGTTCTGTGGGGACAATTTTCTTTGAAAAGTTTGTTTTGTTCTTTTATGGGTTTGGTTGGGTTTTTATTTGGGGGGGTGGGGGTGCCCATATATGGTGGTTCTCAGAGCTCATTTCTGGTTCTGAGCTCAGGGGTCGCTCCTGGCAGGGCCCCGGGGATCGAACGGGGTGCGGGGGATCGAACCTGGTCCCTGCTGTCCTGCGTCTCCAGAACGTTCCCCGTTTTCAAGCCGTTTGGTGTGAGGGGGACGAGGGGCCGAGGTCACCCCCTCTCCTGGTCTCTTGCAGGGAAGCGGGTGTGCATGGGCGAGCAGCTGGCCAAGATGGAGCTCTTCCTCATGTTCGTGAGCCTCCTACAGAGCTTCACGTTCTCGCTGCCCAAGGACTCCCCAAAGCCCAACCTGGCCGGGAAGTACGGGCTCACCCTCGCCCCCCACCCGTTCAACGTCATCGCCTCCCAGAGATGACGCAGTGGAGAGGCCACGGCGGGGCCACGCCACGCACAGGCCAGCCCTGCTTGGGTTGGGGTTGCAGGGGCAGCAGAGGGCTGAGCTCCTGGCGGAGGTCGGTGACTGGGGGGCTGGTGTCTCCCGGCCGGCCTGTCCCTCTCTTGAGCCAGTTGCAGGACGGTACCCAACTCGCCTCTCCTGTCTCCCAGCATGAGCCAAGGCTGGGCCCAGGCCACATCTTGGCTGAGCCCCAGGGCTAGCCTGGATGAGGGGGGGAGGAAGGCCTGATGATGTGCAGGGTGGCCGCGGCGGTGGCCTGAGCTCCGGTCAGGTCACCAGTGTTCCTGGCCCGGGAGTGCCCCTCGCTGCTGCCTTCTGCGTGAGATTCAGGTGTCGAGATTCAGGATCGAACCCGGGTCCTCTTTGGTGGCTGCACCTGGGCCAGCCCATGGAGGGCAGGTTAGTGTGGGAAGTTCCTGGTCCCTCCCCCTCCTGTCACCAGCAGGGGGCGCTGTAGCTGCTGCTGCCGGACTCCCTTGGGATGTGAGCCCCCAGAGGAGGGGGCATTCAGCAGGAAAGGGCTGGGGCTGGCCAGGCTGTCCGCCCTCAGGAAGGGTCCCCACAAGGAGAAGGTCCTCGGGAAAAGGCCACGGTCTTGTCCAGGCTGTGTGGGCGGCGTGGGCAGCCACTGGCCATCCCGCCTGGGGTCTGAGCCAGGCGCTGTCTACCCTTCTCGGAGCTGGCCCCTGGCAGGCCGGAGCAGGGTCCCCACTGCACTTTACGTAGCAATGCCGGGAATGCGGGCTCTCCTGCTGGTGCTCCGAGGGCCAACGCACCAATGGAAGGAAAAGGGCTCAGAGCGCCAGCCGGAGGGTTCCGGACCCCGGGGGTCTATGCGCCAAACCGCCCCCTCGCTTCCCCAGAAGAGGGTCCCCTGGGAGATGTGACTGGGTCACACAGTGCCTTAGACTGGAGCACTTTAGAGCAGGAAGCATCTCCGGCGAGTCCCTGAGAACTGCTTCCCGCACACCTGCTGGTGTGACTTTGGACATGATTTGTCGGAATCACAGGGCAACGCACTGAAGTGTGGGACAACAGTGTTCCGTTTCTAGAATCCCCAACAAGCCACATTTTAGTCCTCATCTGTTGCCTAATTTCTGATGCTTTTATTAAACGTTTTGACAGACCATTGTGTTGGGTGTTTTGTCTGGCTTCCCTGCCGCCCCTCAGCTGGGGGTAGAGGAGAAGGTGCCTCGTGGGGAGAGGGGCTCTGACCTGGAGGGCCCAGACGGGAGCCATGGGCCGCTGAGTCTGGCTCATGCCATCGGGCCTATGTCAGCTGAGGAGGGGTGGGTGATGTGTCCAGGTCCACTGTGGCCCAGGGCCAAGCGACTGTGGCAGCCCAGGGAGACCCTCCAGTGCCCTCTGTGGGTGAGCATCTCCCCAGGCCCTCGCCGTCTCCTCCCCTCTCATGCCAGTGCTTAGGACTCTCTGGGGCCTGGGCTGTGGGGTGAGGGCTTTCTAGGACCCCAGAGAGCTTGCCCCCAGCCCTGCTCAGAAGACAGCAGCCTTGGCCGGCCTCTGCTGGTGTCTTTGTCTCCTCACCCTGGCGGGCACACACATCCCCCGTGTGTCTGGCGCTGGCCTGGTCTGTCACGGCCCCACATGAGACAGAGACTCACTGATGTCACCGTGCTGTGCTTCTGCCCCGCGAAACCTGCCTCCCGCCCTGGGCCAGGGCTGCTCTCAGCTTCCCAGATGATGAGTCCCGGGACTGTCTCTTTCTCTCTCTGGAGTCCTGTGCCTGGAGCCGGGTGTAAGACACCACAGAATCCGGGGTCGGGACTTTCCCCTCTCCAAAGAGTTTCATAATTTTAACTTCTATGTTTAACTGATCCATTTCCAGTTTTTTTTTTTTTTAAATATGGCTAAGGCCATATTGGGCCTGGAGCGATAGCACAGCGGTAGGGCATTTGCCTTGCACGCAGCCAGTCCGGCCGAGCCGGGTTCGATTCCTCCGCCCCTCTCGGAGAGCCCGGCAAGCTACCGAGAGTATCTCGCCCGCACGGCAGAGCCTGGCAAGCTCCCCGTGACGTATTCGATATGCCAGACACAGTAACAACAAAGTCTCCAATGGAGACGTTACTGGGCCCGCTCGAGCAAATCGATGATCAACGGGAGGGCCTTTACCTTTACCTTTATGGCTAAGGCAAGGGTGTCAGGAAGAGTCAGAATAGGGCCAGGATAAAACAGTGTAGAACAACTGCTATTTTTAATATTTAATAGCAGAAAATGCTCCAGTATAATTTTAAGGGCAAGACATAAACCTAAAGTGAACTAAGATCCCTCTTTTTAAAAACAATTATAGAATATAAGACTTTGGATAGTTTCCTCTTCAACTCTTCATAATCAGCCATGCTAGGGCCAGGGGGTGCTGGGTGGAACATGGGGCCTTTCCAGGGGCGAGGTGGTGCCAGGGTGGAACCTGGGGCCTTTGCAGGGGCAAGGTCATGCTGGGTGGAACCCGGGGCTTCCCACCCCAGGCACCTGCGCTCCAACTCTAGCCACTTCCCCTGTGTCCACTGTGAATCTTTAAAGAGAGAGTTCTGAAAGATACTTTCCCCGAGGGCCCTGGATTAGGTTAATACCAGTTGACTCTATCTGTGGCAGACTCTATCTGTTCTTCCTCCTTTGTTCAAAGGAAATGTAATTATGTGGAAACAATAAGGCCTTGGCCTTTTCTGGAATTATTCCAGGCTTGTAGAGAATCATCAGCAGAAGCTCCTGTGGGACAGGAGGGCTCTGGGTCAGCAGCGGGACAGTGGGAAGGCGGCTCCAGGCTCAAGCCCTGCCCCTGCCTGCCGGGAAGTGCCCCCTGCCTCTGGCCAATTCCCCTTCTGTCACTGTGTGCAGAGATGATCTCTCAGGTCTCAGCTCTTATCCACCATCACTGCTTTCCCCACCGAGCACCCCGGCAGAGTCTGTGAACTAATAACTGTGATATCCCCCATCACCCCTCCGCAGGTCCCTGATGGAGAGAGCTGGGGGTCTCTGGACCCCCTACCTTATGCCTCTCAGGACAGCAGCAGATGCAGGACTAAACAGGTGATGGCAGGAACTCTGCCAGATGGACACAGGCACCGGGGTGAGGCTTGGCTCTGTGTTGCCAGCTCCGTGTCCTGGGTAAGCGTGTCCCTTCCCTGGGCTGATTCCCATGCTGTCACCGCAGACGCTGCCTCAGTCTTGTCTCTGAAGGATTTTAGATGAGTTTGGTTATGAACATTGCAGTCGCATCTCCACCCCAGACCAACTCACCCAGGGGTACGGCCTAGGCAGCACTGGCTGCCAAAGTGCCGAGGACGAAGAAAGTATGTTTATAGGAACGCAATGCCAAGAGTGACCCAGCTGAGAGAGAGAGTGGGTTAGGGCCCCACTGTCTGTCGGCTAGGGCAGCCGGGCCCACTTGGAGCTCTCAAGCATATGGCCAACTTACATAGACTATGCTATGCATGTAAAATATCAGATAACAAGGACATAAAATTTGATTTATCTTTTTTTAATAAATGCCTCTACTTTATATATTAAAATGATTAACTTTTGAATGTTTTAGATTTTGGAGGACGCACCTCGCCGTGCTCAATTCTTACTCCTGACTCTGCACTCGGGAATCACTCCTGGCGGTGCTCGGGGACCAGGTGGGATGCCGGGGATTGAACCCGGGTCAGCACATGCAAGGCAAACACCCTACCTGCTGTATCCCAGCTCCCCAAATGATTAGCTTTTGTATATTTTAGGTTAAATAAAATATATTTTAAAACAGAACAGGCCTCGGGGCTGGAGAGATGCACGGGGATTAGGGTACTTGCCTTGCAATTCACCGACCCCACTTCAGATCCCCAGCACCCCAGAGGGTCCCCTGAGCATGGCCTGGAGGGAGCCATGAGCACAGAGCCAGGAGTATGCTCTGAGCACTGCTGGGTAGGGCCCTCAAACCAAACCAAAAACTTTATAAACAAAAATAGTGCAAACAATCCTAGTAGCAACACAATCCCAGGCACCTGCCACCTCAGCCAACACCACAGCAGTAAGGTGTGAGGTCTCCTAAGGACAGTGCTCCGGCCAGCAAAAGGCAGGCACAAGGTCCCACAGAGCTGCTGGCGAAGGTGCCGCACATAGGAGGTAACTTCTTTGTGACCGCACTGCACTAGAGGGAAGGGAGCAGGTGGGATCAGGGGGTAAAAACCTCCAGATGGGGCTCGACACCCCTCTGGGTGACAGCCTAGCTGGTCCTTGCTGCTGTGGTGCTGGATGAGGTGGCAGGTGCTGGGATTGTGTCAGCTCCCCTTCCCTCCTGTGGCACTGTCCCAGGTGGCTCTCTCGGGGCTCGGAAATCCATGGACCCTACTCCATGTGAGGCAGAGGCATGCAGCAGACAGCACCTGTGTGTGCAAAGTGAGGAATACTCTTCTCAGGAGCTGAGACGCGTCTTTGTGACCTCGGAATGTGTGGCCCGAATACCCCACTGAGAAGTCCCCTCCTGCTGGGAGCATGGCCATTTGGGTGACCAGTAGTCTTTTGAAGGTATTGAGTGGCTATCATGTTCAGTCTATAGTTTACATTCGGCACGCATCTTGCATCCTGAGCGAATCCTCCAAACATCCTTTACTTGGTGTTCCCTTCTCTATCTGAGCTGCCTTTTCCCCCAGCATGTGAGGCCAGCTGCCAAGGCCCTGGAGCAGACCTCCTGGTTTATGCACTCAGGAATTACTCCTGGCGGTGCTCGGGGGACCATACGGATGCTGGGAATCGAACCTAGGTCGGCTGCGTGCAAGGCAAATGCCCTACCCGCTGTGCTATTGCTCCAGCCCCTGCACTGAGTTTTTTATTTCATCTACCAAATCTTTTATTTGTGACATTTCTGCGAAATGCTGGAGCGATAGCACAGCGGGTAGGGCGTTCGCCTTACACGCGGCCAACATGGCCGACCCGAGTTCGATTCCTCCGCCCCTCTCGGAGAGCCCGGCAAGCTACCGAGAGTATTCGATATGCCAGACACAGTAACAACAAAGTCTCCAATGGAGACGTTACTGGGCCCGCTCGAGCAAATCGACGATCAACGGGAGGGCCTTTACCTTTACCTTTACCTTATTTCTGCGTGTAGCTTTCCAATTTCTGCTCTCATTTCTTCCCGTATTTTCTCGATTATTTCTTTCATGTCCTCCTTTAATTTACTGGATATCTGTCTCATTGTTTCATTGAGTTCATTGAACATCTTCATTACCTCATATCTGAATTCTTTCTCAGAGAGCTCCCTTAAGTGAGTAACACCTAATAAGGCTTTTGGACTCTTTTCATTGTCCTCTCCTCGTGGTGGGGATTTGCATTGTTTCTTCATGTTGGTGTGGTGGTATGGAAACTAGGAGGGGAAGAAGACCGGCACGGCATTGGGGATGAACGGGAAGAGGATCCTTAGCTGTAATATTTTTGTGTGTTAAAAGATGTTTTTTAGCCTTACCCCAAGGAAACTCAGTTTCATTATATGGTACAGAGGTTATACAAAATGAAGTAGTATTTCAGTCACATTTCAAAGACATTTGTCGGCAGAGGCTAGCTAACTGGTCTCCAAGCAAAGTAACAGTTTGTGAACATCAGCCAACTTGGCCTGCAGTTCAGAGTCATTTTGTCTTTGAGCAGTCCATAATTTTTTTTGAATTCTAGTTCCACTTCTGGATGAATTCTGCTCTCTGTGTTCCTTGCCTCAGGGCCATGCTGGCCTTGTGGTCGCTGTTGCCATCACTGTGATGATCCCCATAGTGGCAGTGATGAGCAGACCCAGGAATCTTTTGGTTCATTGGGAGAGATGGACAAGTAGTTGGCAAAGCGCTCCCGTTGTTGGATTCTCTTCCCATGTTCTAGGAAGAATCACTGGCATCCATATACCTACTCAGGCTCTGAGAAAATATAAACTCCTTCTAGGAGTCTCATAGAGGAGTGAATACAAGTATGCATGGAACACTGCAGGAAATAACTCCTTCATGTATATTCCAATTAATTTTTCCTTTCTAGAGTTATAAAATTGGTTGCAAATCTTTTATCTCATCGGAGCTTAAAGATATCAGGCATTTTTGCTGAAATTTCAGACCAGCTTCAGCCTTCTTACTGAAGAAAAAAAATGAGTCATTTAAAA